AGACATGGTGCCTGCTTCTTATTTTTGTGATTTCTCCATGAAGAACGAGGAATACCCAATACAGTCCTGAGTTAGTTCCCTTACGTCCCTGCACAACATAATGGAGGTTCAAACACTATTTGTTTTATATTTTTTAACCTTCTTTTAGCATCGTTTTCTACTTTATCTCGAAAAACTTCATCTATTTTTTATTACTGTAATAAGAAGATGAAAAAAAGTCTAACTTGACATGAGATCTTCTATTCATAAGGACGTGTTCACACTACGACATAAGTATGTCGAACAAAAGAAAAGACAAAGAAATRAAGTCAAGCGTCCATCGATATAAGCATAGCAAGTAACATAAGGCAGAGCATAAGCTAATCAAAGACAAAGGAATAAACTGAGAAAAAAACCTTCCTTTTTGTCTTCTTAATCCTTAAACCCTTCGTTTATGCAGCTTGTGCAGTGTGAACTGRCCCTAAGTGATGAACAAGAATGGTCAACATTTATCAAATATATTTCAATTCAAAAGATGAAATTATATTTTTAAAGATCCTGCTTTTGTTTTTTAAGCTTTTTTTTATCCTTCGCGCTTATTATTTTGATCCACCACAGGCCGTGTATACTGGCTTTATACTGCACAGCGATGGTCTGTTTTAATTAAGCCTTCGAGTAAATAAGCTACTTTACTGACAAAGCAAGAAAAACAAAATTGATAGCAACAGCATACATTGATAACAACGAAAATGCATTAAAATATGAATAGAAAAAAAATTGTATTAGCAGTGAGGCATATACGTGTCGTGACAGTGCTGTCYTATAATCGTGATTAGTTTAATGCATACTTAGTTTTCTTGAATAAAGGCCTTTTCAAAAACAAAAAAGGTCTCAAGAAAATATTTGTAAATATTTTTTAAGGTTTAGCCTGATTTCCCAAAAGACTTTGACCCCACTGTGAATACAAGCTTAGCTTGAAATAGGAGAAAATGGAAATTTGCAAGGTTTTCGTATACAAAAGAATGACATTTCTTTCGTGCTCTTGCGACTGAAATGATGCTGAAGCACCAATGTCGCGCAATAAGAAGATGAAGTCTTTATAGTTTATTGGTTTATAGTGTTGTTCGAAGTCAATTGCAATATTTTGATAGTGCCGAGGTGTGAGTTACCAAAGAATTGACATGCTATATTGTATTTCTTAGAATCTGACCCTTTTGAGTTACATAGTAGATGGTTGTGTAAAAAGATAAAAGGATTAACGTCCGAAACTTCAGAAAGTTATTTCGCCTACTTTTTTACGGTGTTAAATTTATCTTTTTACACAACTGTTTYCTTAGAAACACCGACGCAGCTCACACTAGTTTCCCGGTAATCCCCACTACATATAGTAGATGTTCTATTATTATTTAATTGCTATCCCTTTATTGTAAACAGGTAAAAATGGCTGTAAACATCAGCATTATCTTCCCTGCGTTAAAAACAAGACATTTAGAGGTCACGTGATCARAAGCTTTTACGATATCCAATCACCCAGCATGCTTGAATGTCAGGCGAAATGTTTCCAAGAAAGAAAATGTGTATCGTTAAACTTGGGTACCGTGAGAGGGAATATCACGACGTGTGAATTGAATGACCTCGATCACGTGACTCACCCAAGTGACGTTATATCGAAGATGGGCTACCAATACTGTCCTATTAAGGTAAATTTACAGATGATTAAAACATATGCTAGTGCCCGGTTGTCCGAAGTCTGGTTAAAATGATTCAATGGATAAAATCATCCGACCCATAGATTGTGAATGGATTTTATCCCCTCTCCGATAAAGTTTTATTGGTTAGATAGCGCATTTTATCTTCGTACAGCCGGACCAGATCTCTAGAAAAGAGCCAATTTCGTCATAATAGTACTCACAACGTACAGTCACTTTGGCACTTGAAATATATAGATCAACAAATGAGCAGATCAAACAAACATAAGAGGACGGACAGCACAAAAGGGGGTTAAAGAATTAAGACCCTTTTGATGCAGCGAGTCAGTTAATTGCGTCTTTTTGACGACTGGATTTTCCCACCAGAGACAAGACTCCTTTTGTGATGTACTCTCTCATCTTGCCTTGCACCTAGACAATACAGAGCACGCAAGACGCATATCAATCGATGCTACGCACATGCGCAATAACGCCCATTGACCGTCATGCAGCTGGACAATAGACCCGAACACAACGCCCGCAGTTTTTGTTTTTCTTGCTAATAAAAGCCGAAATTACTGATCAAAAAGGCTGACATTGTTTGGTGACCTTCCTTGCAGTCAAGACAATGATGAGGACGGACAGCACAAAAGGGGGTTAAAGAATTAAGACCCTTTTGATGCAGCGAGTCAATTAATTGCGTCTTTTGGACGGATTTTCCCACCAGAGACAAGACCCCTTTTGTGATGTACGCTCTCATATATATTTTAGTGCCCAAAAACGTTCAATAACATAATCTTGTCATAGCTTATACCTTTTTGATAAGTCTAACATCATCACCTCTTCAGAATCCTTGTTCTTCAAACCCTTGTTCTATGGGAAAGCAGTGTAGACCAGATTTTTACGAGGGAACGTTCCGCTGCTTAGGTGGGTAAACTGAAGCATAAAACAAACACCTTGTTCATTCAAACATTTTTAAAATATGCACTAGATAGCATTTACAGCAGAGAAAGCAAGTKRTATATCGTTAAAAGCTGCGCTAGTCAATTCAGCACCTAAAAATAACTTATCAATAATTGAGCAAAACAAGGAAAATCTCATGAGTTTTATCTATTTTTTTTGCATTTTACACACAATAGTCTTCTTCACGGTTGCCTGCGCAATCTTGAMAGTAGCCGTGCCTTTGCATCGAAGCGAGACGACCGTTGAGCGTGTAATGACGAAAACCTTCTTTCACACCAACAAACAATTATTCACAGGTTTCTATCATTGCACGCTCAATGGTTGCCTCGCTTCGATGTAAAGTTACGGTTACACAGTGTAAAAGAGGACTCAACTATTCTATATATCAGATCTGGCATGGAGCCAGTGGGGTGTATGGTGCAAATGTCCTACAACTCGGTCCCGAGTACGTATCTGTCTTAACAAACTTGCGAAGGCGAAGGAATCAGATTGTCCTGGACCAAGCCATGAAAGCAACAATAGTACTCCATATCAAAAAGGTAACGTTTGATCAAGTATTTATTAGAATGATTCAATATTAAAAACTCATACATAATTAATGAGCTACTAGGCCAATAGAATGCGTATTCAATGTGGGATGACAAGAGTGCTTTGTAAAGTGATTCGCGCATGATCAGTTTGCCTCATTTATCTCTGAACATATTTTTACGGCAGTTTCTCCAAGAATTTTAACGGATTTGAGTTTCAAATTAGTGTTGGAGTTTTTTAAGTCGTTTAAAACACTCTCTCTCGTGTTTTAAACTATACATAAAAATACGAAACGTGAACAATAGGAAGCATGTTCTCGCATATTCAAAGTAAGCTTTAATCTTTCCAGTTCCCACAAGCTGTGCCGATGCTTTACATTGTGGCTGCATTATAAGTGGTGTCTACATTTTCAACGGTACTCTTAAAGTAAGATTGGATGTTATATATATCTTACTTCTATAATCATTAATATTTTGAGGCTTTTAAACCAATGTGACTCAAATCTCTTGTCTTATACCCTTTTGTCTTAAAGATGTTCTGTGATCAAGAAACCAATGGCGGTGGATGGACAGTTATCCAGAGAAGACAAGATGGCTCACAAGACTTTTWTCTGGGATGGCACTACTATAAGGTTGGCTTTGGTAGTCTAACTGGAGAATTCTGGTTGGGACTCGACAAGATCCACCAACTGACCCAACAAAGTCGACACAGTCTTCGTGTTGATCTGGAAGACACTGCCTATGCTGAGTACGATTATTTTGCTGTGAGTGACGAGTCCGATTTGTACAAGTTGAGTCTTGGTAACTATACAGGTAACTGGAACTACTAGAATACTGTATATCAAGACTTCAATTTCTAAGTTCAAGAGCTATTTCATTTACAATTTTGAAAACCACTCTTTTTCTGTATTAGGCACAAAAAGGTTGCTTGCGATCGGTGATTTACCGTTTTCCATAATAGAGGTTTATTAGTTGTTTTGATCATATTTGAAAAGCTATGAACGAACGATTACGCATGCTCATCACATTGTCTTCGCCTTGACCAAAGGCGGGCATTTTGTTGCCCTTTTGCTATTTCGAAAGCATTGCCGGGACAATACACGATAAAAAAAAACACCCACTAAACTTCAAACAAAATTCAAACAAACGATTAGTTATTTCAATATATGAATGTTGACATCAACAATCAATAACTACAATAGTCTTCTTCATGGTTCCCTGCGCCATCTTGAAAGGTAGCCGTGCCTTTGTGTGTTGTTAGGATGGTTGAGGATTGAGACCGATGGAGACGGATTGTTGTGTGATTGTTTTATTCCGCCATCTTGGCTAAACCATGAGGTACACAGGTAACCCGAACATAAATATCTGCATACGATAACATTACACTTTGCATCGAAGCGAGACAACCGTTGAGCGTGCAATGATAGATCTGTGAATAATTGTCTGTAGGTGTGAAAGAAGGTTTCTATCATTGCACGGTCGTCTCGCTTCGATGCAAAGGCACGGCTACCTTTCAAGATGGCGCAGGGAACCAAGAAGACTATTAGYCTCTTTCGTGTATTAAACATAAATATCRCTTCATACAAAACAGCCATTGTTGCGTCCAGGTCGATTTGTAGACATCAAYTCCCGAAATGAAACCACAGTAACTCATCTTTTATTGATTCAAAGTTGCTGTTTTTCGCAATTTCTAGGAAACGCTGGAGATTCACTCGGAGTGCATCGCAACCTATCTTTCACGACCAAAGACCGCGACCACGATTCTTTTGGTGGGAGGAATTGCGCTTCTATATTCAAAGGAGCATGGTGGTACAAAGCATGCCACCTTMACGGTTGCCACYTTACTGGATTGTACCTCAATGGTAAAACTTCGGTGTATGCTAAGGGTATTGTTTGGAGCTCCTGGAAGGGGTATTACTACTCTGCTAAAACAGCTGAAATGAAGATTCGACCAATTAACTGAGCGCTTTCCTATGATTAGACAGTTGAATATGCGGACCAGATTACAGCTTCAATTTAAAACACCTGCAAGTAGAGTTATATTTAAGCGCTATGAAAATCAGTAGAACAAAAAAATAATGCTCAACTTTGATGGAGATCTGAATGACAAGTATACTTTCACTTATTCTTGCCAACATCTTTATTAATGCATTCTTCCTGAGCACTTCGTCACCATTCCAGCACGAGCACCCAAGATCTTCAAGAGATGTATTGACGSTTGTTTCTCAACTCGATGAGCCAGTTGTTACTATGACAACATCATGACATGGTGAAAGAGATAGTTATATATCCACTTAGCTCTACTGCATGCTGTAAATTATAATGCGCATGTATTTGTATAAAGGTTGTGTTTGTATGGGTTGTACAAACGGGTATTGGACAATTTAACCCCCTTTTCATCTAATGAAGTCATATTTCCTTAAGGARAWAAATTGTTAGTTTCTTGGTTAGTCCCAATAGGCAATGTGCAGCGAAGACATTTTGTGCAGCAAAACATGATGGTAGTTGTAGTCCTCGCACTTTTCATAACCGCTAAAATATTACATTTTCTTTTCACAAACGGCACAAATACTTCTATTTTCGCTTAGAAAATGCAAAAACTGGTTAGGAGGAYTGTTTTAGCGGACATAAAAAAGTGCGAGTAATCCTTTTCTGCACAAATTTGTGGAAAAAATTGCGCGCTTCAAAGGTTGTAAATTTGATGTAAATATGATGTAAGTGTCCAAAATTCTGTAAATTTGATGTAAATGATTTCCATAAAATTTACAGAAGTTTGGACACTTACATCATATTTACATCGAATTTACWACCTTTGAAGCGCGCGATTTTTTCCATGGGTACTGCACATTGCCTATTGGGRTTTCGACTCTTCTAGAAAAATTCAGTATACATGTAAACTGATTTTAACAAGTTACCACCACATACCAATCTTTGGCATTGTCACGTTTCTCACGTTAATGGTTGGTAGCACTTTGACAAGGCGAACATATGTGACATAATTTGTATAAATTTTGCATAAAACGATTCGCTAGTATCGAGTCATGATTTTCATGTCATTAATAATACACRAATACGTCAAACGACCTATCTACAGGGCGCCAATATATACGATTCATGGTATTATTAACAAAAAACGGGCTACTTTTTAGATGAACTTTTTCTGTCGCAATGTCGTCAATGGCTAATGTGATCATTATTCTTTGGTTGTCTATTCTTGGCCAGGTCAAAGGTATTTTCCCTGCGCATGCCGYGCGATTCTTTACATCCTTCATGCTAAGGGTTTTTCATTTTGATTTGAATTTTTGACGATTACTCTAAACTTAAAGGCTGTACCGAATGGCGTTTTACACTAGGAACCGCATTTGAACTTTTGAAATTAGTCTGAATATGGTTGATTCATTATATCTTCTTACTTGAAATCCCCTCTGATTTCCGATTGATTTTACTCAAATAGGTGGGCGTCAGTGTTTGCGTTTAATCTAATTTKCATAAAAGTCACAAGAAAATCGAGCCCTTAAACGAAAAGAGCTCATACCTGTTAGCAATTCTTGAAAATTTGAAGACAGTTAGTTAAATATTTTAAGAGATATCAAGCGCCGAATTTTGTAAAGAAATGTTGCCAACAACTGAATGTTTTCTATAGATTTAGTAGTTTTGAAATGCCGATATCTCGAAACGTAAAAAAGTGTTTGCCTAAAATTTTCAGGTTTTGTTGAGAGTAATATAATCTTGAATTATATGAGTTGAGATTGCTTATTTTTTGAATTTGATATTTTGGATGTATAAACTTTTCAAATTCTCATGTTTCTGGCTCAACTGGCTTCTTTTTAAATATTATTATAATTTTTTTGTTCTGTTCTTATTTTACATAGCAGGTGTATATGTGGCACAAAGGTAGTCTTTAGTAATGAGATCAGGAGTCCTTTGTGYCATTCTGACAAAACAAACCCCCCTATATATAACAGCGCCATATTGAAAGGTGGCGTTGACTTTAATTTTGTATACACGCAAGACAGCGGTCGTAATACCGAATATTGGTATTACATATGGAGTATTTGTCAGTATCAATGAACTATAGAACACAATCAAGATGAATTAAAAATAGYCCCATGTGAATTCATCTTGATTGTGTTCTGCTTCATTGATACTGACAAATTGTCTCTAAATAGTATTTAGCTGTTAGATTTTATTTCGTGGTTTTCCTGCGTTTGCTCTATCAAACTTTCAAAAGTGTTATAGCAACAAACGAGAACGCATAACCATAGATCGCACGGCAACTGTAAATTACTATAAATGATTACCATGATTGCTGTAAAACACTTTCATTGACAACAGGTAAAGATGGCTGTAAAGATCTGATTTATCTTCCCTGCGTCCAAAACAAGACCTTTAGAGGTCACGTGATCAACAGCTTTCGAATCCTAGCTCCCGGGTTAGAAGAATGTCAGTCAAGATGTTTTAAAGAAAAGATGCCGTGTGTATCGTACAACTTAGGTCCCGTGACGGGACATATCACGACTTGTGAATTGAATGACCTGGATCACGTGACTCATCCAGGTGACGTCATACCACAAGAGGGTTCCCAATACTGCCCACTTAAGGTATAATCATATATAAACATGCCTACCTTGCTCTTATTGGTCTTCTTTCTTTGCTCCTCTTATTAAACTCACACTTATCCTAGTCTCATTATTAAACTCACACTTATCCTAGTCTCATTATTAAACTCACACTTATCCTAGTCTCATTATTAAACTCACACTTATCCTAGTCTCATCTCTTTACTCCGACGAAGGATTAACGTCCGAAACCGTCAGTAAATGGTTTCACCTAGTTTTTACTCGCGCGAAAGCGGAGAGTGATAAATTCACCATCGCTAGTGTTATTTTCCTTCAGCAAAAAGATGACCAAAAACAACGCATGCGCACGCAGCTATGATAGCAGTAGGCATGCGCACAATGAAATGATGAACCTCATGGTCAACTRCAATAATGGCGKACAAGCGTTTAGAAAGTGTCTGTTCATTWTCGGACGATACTTTCCCCAAACTTGGAGACAGATTACTTTACGAGCGATAAATCACGAGCGAATATTGCGAGAATATTCTATTGTGAATAATTCATCTATTGCTTTAAACTCGAYATCAAAACAGTTATTTACGAGATAAGAAAGCGCAAGTTATGCGTCTAATTACGGTTTTTTCTTTTTACTCGACTGTTTTTACGAACATCTGAAGCAGTAAAAACTGGATTTTATTCGGTCTATATTTGGTGTTAGAGGCGTCAAATAGGAGTCATTTTAAAAGCTTCTGATTGACTGGTATATTGCCGCAATATTGTACCTGTTTTTTCATAAAAATAGAAATATTGTTGTTGTGTTGTTTTTTCCCTTATATATTTATCAATGCTATTTTGGGGATTTCAATACGACTGTTACAATTTAATAAAGAATGCTAGTAGACAGAATGTACAAATTAAGGCACAAATTACATATAGTATTATTTCTTTCCTTTTAAATGTGAATGCTTAATCTCTGGTTATCACGCTCAAAATAAAGTCACAAGCAATATTGCCAAATTACTTCTACAGAATCCATGTTCATCAAATCCTTGTTCAGGTAGCAAAGTGTGCATTCCAGATTTTCAATGGGATACTACAAAGTGCGTAGGTAAGTTGTGTTAACTGAATGAAACCGGGGTCACCTGGAGAATGTAAAAATAATCACAATTTCGATTGAAAACAAGGCTTAAAAAAGCTAACAAACAATGATCGATGACATTGCAAAGAGCTAAAGCTCAATTAGATGAGGTTTCCTTAGTTTGAATCCTTTTGTATTCTATCTTAATTGTGGGACTTTTTATTCTCTAGGTGGCACTGTAATATTCAAATTGAAAGAAAAAAAGAGATAAATAAGAATTTGAATAGAAAGRGTGTTCATTCTCCATTGAGCTTTAAGCTTGAAAGATACAAATGAGGTGCTTGCAAAGGTTTCTGACGCGGCTATCTTTTCCCACTATGCACCCGAAATTCATATGGTAATCAGTTGAAGAATGTAACCACCCCAGCTACGTCATATCAAAGAAATATCAAAGAAATTCCTCAGAAAAGTTGTCCTTTGTTTGGAAGCCATATTTGGTAATTTTGCCTTATTTGGAAGTACGTCTGGACTGATTTTTGTCGAATTTCTCGACCTTTACAGCTTAAAATCGTCTGAAACTTGTAAAGGGTTCGTGCAACATTTTCACTACAAAATTCCAGGACTTTTCAAGTACTTTTTAAGCATMAAAATGGGATTTTCAAGGAGTATTTTTGAAGATATGTTTAGATGTTTGCGGACGTTTCAAGTGGCGATTTTTTAAAATAGCCACATTTCAATCCAAAAGCTAACAATCAACATGTCAATTTTATCAGATTCAAGGAGTTTTCCAGGAGTTTCAGCGATTTCCCCAATTTTCAAGGGCTTTCAAGCGCACTTGAAAACAAGTTTTCAATTCCAGGACTTTTCAAGGACTTTAAGGAGTAGCACGAACCCTGCTTGTAGATTTTTTTTTTTAGATTTATTTTGTTTGTTTCCATCTGRCATGGATTCACTAAAGGAAGACCATACAAATCTTTGATATGTTTATTAAAAACCAAACTAGTATCGACACTAACATGAAAATAACATAGAAGACATTTTGCTGGCAGATGGGATGTGGAGTCAGTGGAGTGAGTGGTGTAAATGTCCTTCCACTCGAAGCCGTGTGCGTACCTGTCGTAACCCATTTACGAACGCTACGGAAACAAGTTGCCCTGGACCAAGTCAGGAAAGTAACGATGTGGTGATATTTAGAAAAGGTAAGCTATATTCATGTCAACTTGGTAAACAAGTTACATTTCTTTTCACGATATTCATTTTCTACACATCATACTAATGCGTTTCAAAAAATGGAAACTTATGCAAAACCACACTAAAAAAAATCATCAGTGTGAACGAAAGTAAAGTATCTTTAAAGATCAAAAGAGTAATTTTAGAAGTCATTACAAATATTATAAGCGCCTTTTTTKATCAGTAATGTATATGATGCAGTTGTTTTTCTAATTTCTACATGTAGATTGCTGTTTSTTTTCTTTTTCTGCTTTGAATGTGTTTTTGCCTTTGATTATTTGCTTTTTTGCATTTGCATATAATGAATATGTTATTAATCATTTGTTCTTGATCTTCTAGTTCCCACAAGCTGCTTCGATGCTTTACAATGCGGCTGCAGAATAAGTGGTATCTATACTTTCAGAGACAATAACAAAGTAAGATTCAATTTATTCACGATAATGATAGACTCCTTTTATAATAAGTTCTAGAATTCATTAATAATTAATGAGCTATTAGTCCAATGAGCAACGAACTATTGGGTCACATGATGGGCCTTTATATCCGAAAAAGTACTGATGTTTTATTAATCAGTTCTATATCAGATATATAGAACTGATGTTTTATTAATCAGTTCTATATCCCGATATAACACGCACTCTCGTTCTATAAACAACACTTCAAATCTCAAAAGAACCAAATTATCCAGTTTCTTGTGATCTTTCCCCAGTGAATGCCTCTATTATTTATGRACTCCAAATTCTGTTCACACAACGGAATAACCATAAGTCGAGAAACAAAAGAAAAATTAGGACAATTAGTAGAGAAGTCATGAGTGCGACATACGACATTGACATACACCTACTTGCAGGAACGTTGTCATAGAAAATAGAACATTTGAATTTAGTAAAAAGGAATAAATTGAAACAAGACAAAAGAGAGCGTTCAGCCTCAGTGATCTTCCTTTGTCTTGTTTTAATTTATTCCTTTTTACTAAATACAAATGTCCTATTTCCTATGACAACGTTTCTGCAGGTAGGTGTATGTATAAAAAATAGCATTTTAAAACTTAAAAGTGTTTAGTGTATTTTCTTCTTTTATCCCAATCTAATTCCAAAATCTAAGCTTTTCTTGCTGGTTAGAAATAGTCTTCATGATCATTGCTTTCTTTCAACAGTTCTTCTTTGAATTGATGCTTTCCTAAACCATGCCATGCATACATTTATAATCCAAACTAAACTATCTTTATATCTAAAATTAAAGTTATTCTGTGACCAAAAAACCAATGGGGGTGGATGGACAGTTATCCAGAGAAGACAAGATGGCTCACAAGACTTTTTTCTGGGATGGCAAGACTATAAGGTTGGTTTTGGTAGTCTAACTGGAGAATTCTGGTTGGGACTCGACAAGATCCACCAACTGACCCAACAAAGTCGACACAGTCTTCGTGTTGATCTGGAAGACACTGCCTATGCTGAGTACGATTATTTTGCTGTGAGTGACGAGTCCGATTTGTACAAGTTGAGTCTTGGTAGCTATTCAGGTAAAGAGATAAACAAGTTGCTAAAATTTAACCGGTATATCGCGACCTTTAATTTATCCCATTTGATTTTATGTTAGCCATTACAGTAYACTTATYATTTCAACTTATTTCACTTGTTTCACTTATTATTTCACTGACCACAAATTATCCTTTGTTACTTCGGATATATATAGATAATTACTTCATGTGATATCATGGGTATTGGACACTAGCAAACCATTCATTGTAGAGACATATCAACGAATCAGGTCTATTTTTTCTTGCAAGCTTGCATGCAGGGGTTAATGTTAATCTTTTTAAAAAGCTGTTTTTAACTTATAACTTAATTAGTCTTTGTTTGATTTGTGATCTAAAAAAAAGTTTATAGCAATGATATACTTTTCAAGATAGTTAAAGATCTTTATTGCTTATATACGAACATTGAATTAGTATCTTCTCGAGAAGTTTATTGTTTTTCTTTTCTAGGAAATGCTGGAGATTCGCTTGGCGGGCATCGCAATTTTAATTTCACSACCAAAGACAAAGACAATGATAAAAAATCATATAATTGTGCCGCCCGCTACACAGGAGCATGGTGGTATGCGGCTTGTCATAGTTCTAGCCTTAATGGCCTGTACCTCAACGGTACAACTACCAAGTATGCTAAAGGTATTGTTTGGAACAGTTGGAAAGGATATTATTATTCGGCTAAGAGAGCAGAAATGAAGATTAGACCAAAAAGCTGAGGAATAAAACCGGGAGGAATTGCTTATGACTACACAACGGCTAAGTACACACATCACTAATGCTGACACCAAAAGTGTGGCAAAGCTACATTGCCTTACGCATGATCACAACGCAAACTTCTACAGACTTTTTTTCAAAGTCATCTTATCCAATAAAGTAAAATAATATTAACTTCACCAATTTCAATGGTTGCCTCAATGTATTGAAATTGAATATAGTTCTAATTCCCACGGCACTTTTTATCTATTATTTGAGCTTTGTATTCCTTCAAAGTATCTTCAACAATAACATATACGGGATGTACAGGAATGCGGCGATATCATTGATAGGTTTATTTATTTAAGCAATAAACGATAGCTTGAAGTGGTTTACTTGCAAAATAAACCGCGCGGGATTTTTGGAAGAGCACGAGAAAAGATCTCTAAATTACGAGCCGTGATTTACCGTTTCAAGCTATCGTTTATTACTTTTGTATTATAGCCGGCGTCCCATTTAGAGTCTCTCAAGAAAGCAGGTTTACCGGCGAAATAAACCATAGCTTTTTTCATGAAATCCGCCAATCAGCGCGCGTGTTTGAATTGAGGTATATATGATACAAATTAATTATACATGATATTTATGAGCTCCTCAGTGTTTTTCTAGAGGGTCGTCAAATACGAAGTGCAACACAGGTGTTGCAGTCAAAAACCTTGAAAACCCCGCCAGTTTTTTAATGTTTTCCGTAATGCTTCCTATAAGTAAAGCAGTCATTACTTGGATTATTATGTTTCGCCTGGTTAACGGTAAGTTGTCCGGTAATTTTGTCTGACATTTGAGGATGCAACACGATGTTTTACCATGTATATAAACCATTATAAATTAGATGTTTACAGAAGCAAGGTTCTTTTTTTACATCAATATTGACTATCCTATCAGAATATTGATATGAGGAACGTATGGCACTATAATAAACATGATATAAAACTAAAGGAAAGGAATACTAGTGCTTATCAAGATATAGTATATTGCTGCCATGGCGACTCTGAAAAATAGCCTCATTCACATCTTTCAACCTTTCTTTCTTTCTTCTTCGTATTTTTTTCGCTACTCCTCTTAGAATTGAATTGCTATCACTTGCCGTTTTCATATTTTGATACTTGCCATAAGAATGAACTTCAAATTCGGTAAATCAGATATAATTAAAAAAATATAAATCAGCCTCAAAAATACTCTTGAAAATCATCTTCAAACATGCAGAGCAGGTGTGTATTCGATCTTGAAATTAGCAGCCTGACACAGCGGTAACCTCAGGTTTTGATTAAAACTTTGACTCAAACTTAACAAATTTTATAGTGAGGACGATAATTGCGAGTACAATATAGCAATACTGCGTATTGTTTTTTTCTTACAAAAACAATTATAAGGACATGAACAACAGTGTGATGCCAAAGCGAATTAAGCGGTTATGAAAACAAAACAAAACTCATCCAGGTTGGTTTTAGTCTCTTTCAACAGCCGCGACTTCCGGTCTCGTCAAATTTCCTCAAAAAAAGTAACGGCTGTTTACCCAGGCGCAAAATTCCTTTCCCTTTGATTGACCAATCATGGCTTGGCTCCTGAAAACCAGGAGCCGTTCGCGCCATAATAAAACAAGATAGTTGTTATTGCAGCTGTAAAATTTAAAATTAGAGAGTTAAACGACCAACAAAAGAATGCTATTCTCGAGTTTATAGTATATAGAGTCAACGTGTTCGTTAATCAGCCCACTGGGTTTGGAAAATCGCTATTTTTTCAAACATTGGCATGTATTTTCGATCACAAGTTGGAAAATATCGTCGCTGTGTGCTTAATCCGTTTTAAAAACTCGGTTGAAACAAAGAAAACAATTCCTATCTTCTGCGATAAACGTCTTCGGCGAACTCAACATCGTTAACTACAAACAGGGTGCTGGAATGAAGTCGCGCGGGAAATTTATAAGGTTCAATTCAAAAGGTCTTGATTGTCTTTAATCTTCTCTCTCTCTTCTTTTGATTGGTTGTTGTTAAACAGCCGTTACTTTTAGGGAGGAAATATGACGAGACCGGAAGTCGCGGCTGTTGAAAGAGACTGGGAGTAGGGAATCACCGAGTTGGAATCCGAGTCGAGTTAGAGTTGGATTCGAGTTGGAACCCGAGTTAGGACCGAGTTAAGACTGAGTTAATTAGATATTGCTTTTTTGATGGACATTGGTGTAAACCGATTCAATCATTGAGATCATTTTTTCCAACAGTACAAAAATAATATATTCATTTATTCTTTTGATTTTTATCAATTATCAATAAACCCTTTTAGCGATCTCTTTTACGCCTGTGTTAGCGGCCTCAAAACCATGTAATAAATTCTTTTATTCACAACAGGCCGTGCAAATGCAAGAGATCTGTGAGTATAGAAGACAATGGAAATAGTTTGAAATCTCACGAATTTTATCGACATTTCTGAATATTTTAGCGCACATGTACAATTGAGGCTAACACAGCGTAAAAGAGATCGCGAAACTCAACTATTAAAGACGTTTTTTGCACAAATGTTTGCTCAAACAAATAAATGCATTAAAAAAAATCATCAAAACACCAACACACCAAAAGCGAAATAGAGAATAAGATATTATGAATATGTACATAGTGATCTATTTTGTAACTTTTATCAAAATTGCAGTAATTTGTGATACTGACTTCGCTCAATAAAGAGTTTCAAATCGAGTTAAAAATAACAAGTTACATAGTAACAAAACTTAAGTGAGGTATTTAAATTAATTTCATGACTGTTATCCATTTATTGCACAAAGGTAAAAATGGTTGTAAAGATCTAGTTTATCTTCCCTGCGTCCAAAACAAGACCTTTAGAGGTCACGTGATCAAGAGCTTTCGAATCCTAGCTCCCGGGTTACAAGAATGTCAGTCAAGATGTTTCAAAGAAAAGATGCCGTGTGTATCGTACAATTTGGGTCCCGTGAGTGGACAGGTTACGACGTGCGAGTTGAATGATCTTGATCACGTGTCACATCCAAGTGACCTCGTTTCGAAGGAAGGCTCCCAGTACTGCCCGATTAAGGTAATTTTATAGCAATGTATGACATTGTCAAGAAGTTTACATATTCCCCACACATTCACTCTCACTGTTCCACTGTTACAGACTACAACAGTTATGCCAAACGTAACAGGTTAATATTCAAAGACAATGAGCTATTGGCGACATTTCAGGCGTACAAATACGACATAATTTACCTCTTTAATTCATAGAATCCTTGTTCTTCCAACCCTTGTTCTAATAAAGAGCTATGCACACCAGACTTTTATGACGACACTTTCAGGTGCACTGGTGAGTAAAGTAGACTATGAAACTAATAAATATCTGCTAATTATAGTCACTTTTATCTATCCACAATTTATAATACGCGAAAACACTAATGCTGACAGCCAAATAATATTTAGTTCACATCTCACCAACACAAACTTTCCCAGGGGCTATTTTTGATAAAACAGTCACTTCTCTCTCTCAGATGGAATTTGGAGTCAGTGGGGTGAGTGGTGCAAATGTTCTACTACCTGGAGACGTGTACGTACCTGTCGTAACCTGGTTTCCAATGCAAAGGCAGACGATTGCCCTGGGCTAAGTCAGGAAAGTAACGACAAGATCACGCATGGAAAAGGTAAAAACTACTCAATAATTTTTATATGATTTTATGATATTAATATATATATTCAGTCTTTTCTTTAACAAAAAGTCAGCCAAAAACTGAAACCTATGCAGCGACTTAGAAGAAATATAAGAAATATAAGAAGCGATTATAATTGTAATGCTCAAATTTTCAGTCCCCGCAAGCTGTTCTGATGCTTCGCATTGTGGCTGTAAAACAAGTGGTGTATACACATTCAAAGATAATCTTAAAGTAAGGTCACTGTTGTTGTTTTCATTTTCAATACATTTTCATTTCATATACCGAGTAAAAGAACAAGTATATGTATAAGAACAAGTGGATTAAGAACACCCAGGCCTGATTTTAGGGAATAAAATACCATTTATATAATTATAACAACGCATTCAGCCTGATAAATGAAAGTTGTTCTTATATGGAAATATATCAAAGATCAACACTATATACTTTTCATTGCACACATTGATTTATCAATTTTCTAAATTAAAATAGTTACATCATAGTTATACTTGATTGAAGCTAAGCTTGCATAAAAGGGGCTTCGAAACTGGAGTATTCTAGTGTATGGTTCGCTATTCTTTTAAGTTATTCTGTGATCAAGAAACCAATGGCGGTGGATGGACAGTTATCCAGAGAAGACAAGATGGCTCACAAGACTTTTTTCTGGGATGGCAAGACTATAAGGTTGGTTTTGGTAGTCTAACTGGAGAATTCTGGTTGGGACTCGACAAGATCCACCAACTGACCCAACAAAGTCGACACAGTCTTCGTGTTGATCTGGAAGACACTGCCTATGCTGAGTACGATTATTTTGCTGTGAGTGATGAAGCTGATTGGTACAGGTTGAGTCTTGGTAACTATAAAGGTGAATTTTCTTTGTCATGTAGTGATTTTCGTCAGGCCTTGCAAATAATTCACTATCGAGATCTTTGAACAAGTGAGCATGCAGTCATCGTGTTTTTGGCGATAAATTTAGTACTGACTAAATTTTAGATCGATTGTTCTTGTTCTCCATGCCTTCTAAATCATCATCGGTTCTACGTTCATCTTCTGTTGTCGTTGCTTTTCAGGCAATGCTGGAGATTCACTCGGYAGGCATCGTAACGCCTTTTTCTCGACAAAAGACCAAGACCATGATTTTMAAACCACAATAAACTGTGCTTCCAATTTCACAGGAGCATGGTGGTATACGAATTGTCATAATTCCAACCTAAATGGTCTGTACCTCAACGGTTCAACTACCGAGTATGCTAAAGGTATTGTTTGGAAAACTTGGAAAGGGCATAATTACTCAGCTAAGAGAGCTGAAATAAAGATCCGACCAATAAACTGACACCGTCCCACCTCCTTTATGTAGACTTCTTATGCCTAAATTCAGCAACGAAGGAATTTTGTGCAGCTGAAGTGGAAAACCGTACAAACAAAATAAGTGCTTTTCCCCTGACCGGCGTTCAGTACTAATAGTTAGGGCATGCAATTCAAATTGTGCATTGATGCTTGATAGTTATACGTCCTTGATTAACGAAGAAAAAAATATACCAGACTGCCATGGATATCAGCACTAAACCAAAGAATCATACAATTTTTGTCGGGGAGAACGGAAAGGAGATCGCATCACTGAAAGGGACTATGGTTACGATCTTTAACATACAAAAATTTCACTTGTTGGGTTTACTCTTACGGTATAAATCAGTTATTACTTCGCATCCACTACCAAAGYCATTGCTCTTGTCAATAGTGCAATCGCCGTTTGACAATTGCCATTCTCCATTTTATCCGAMAACCAATTTTGAAATAGGTGCATTAAAACACATTCATATCAAGCCTGGGTCAAACGCAGCCCTAAATTGTGTCGCACTTAAAAGTTGAATAGAACGGACATTTTGTCTGACTGACTGTCAGGCAAAATGTCGGTTCTAAATTTGTCGATCCAARCATTGTTACTGTATTACACAAACCAAAAAACGGAAGAAGCCATGAAAACCAATCTTTAACGCGTTGGTAACCTGCGAAAGATCATCATCGTAAGTACTCGTCTCCCATCGAGAACTATCAAACGACGACCACAACCTCTAGGGTTATTCACATCCAGAGTAAAGACTGAATTAGACGAAACAACKTTTGCCTACAACCATCTCATGCGACTGCGTAAGTCATTTTTACGACATGGTTATACAACTTCACATCCATGATCTCATGTAGCCTGCGTAAGTCATCCTTGCAGTTGCAGCTATGTTGTAAAGGCGCTGTCTTATTTGGCATTAAAAGATATACTATAAAACTATTGAAACCTTTCTCCCAAAGCAGGTCCAAATTGAAAAGTTCTCTACTAGATGCTATATTGCATTCATTTGAGACAGTTTAATAAATATTTCGACATTTTTTTAAAATTAACCAAAAACATTTTTACACATTTTGATTACATCTCTACTTTATACATATCATAAAATCAAAAGGCACTAAAATTAATAAATGCCAATTCACAGTATACTTAATCAGAGTTCAACCTTAATCTTCAAATTTTATTCAACTTAAGTCCTGTTCACATGGAGATATATGGTCATTCTACTAAGAAAGTCACTCTCTTTTACATGCAAACTCGAAGGCTTACTCGGGTAGTAGGGCTAGCATTATCAACGGTCGACAAGCTTCGGAAGCAACAACATAGCAACATAGAGTTCTCTTTTGGTGGCTAATTCAGTTTTTTTCTTGGTTATGATACTTGACTGAGTTTGTTTTCAGTGTTGCCCCTATTAGAACGATTTCACATAACCGGATAAAAAATGCTAATGAGGATCAATTTATGCTAATACACATTCAACACATTGCCCGATGAGAATGGCTTGTATCAAGTTGTTGTCCATGTTTGCAAAAACTAGATACAAAAGTGTTGTTCCTTAATGTCCACGTTGGCAAACAAATGTTTTATTTGTGCAATTTTTGCTGCTTTTGTTGTCGTTTTAGACATATTACAGATAAACAGAATTAACGTTAACATATTTGTACGTCAAATAAGTAAAGCGTTCATCAATATCCTTGTTTTTCCCCGTTTAAAATCGTGCAATGTGTATTAGCATAAATTGATTCTCATTAGCATTTTTTATCCGGTTATGTGAAATCGTTCTATTATTAGCAAATTAGTTCAACGACACCGCAAAAGCCGTTAATTAGAGATTATCCCTTACCCCTAGTACTACCTTACTTGAACGTTTACATTGGAAAAGCTGACCCTCCTAGGAGGTTTACCTCACTGACATGACAACATAACCAAGAAAAACAAGAGGAGCTAGATTCTCTCTTCTGATAGGGTGACCCTCCAATCTTCATATAAACAGAGACTTTTCACTCATATCGGATGCAGACGAGTCGGTCCGTTTTGAGGTCTTTTCGGCGACCCAGTCACACGCACTCTAAAATAGCAAAATTGAACTAGAATTAACTGTAAGTTGAAGTTTGATCAAAACTCTTTGCGGTTTTTAAAGGACAGGAGATCTATCTTGCTGTCACATACCAAAGTACAATAGTAACAATATAAATCCCCTTTCATAAGGAGAAGTTTTGTTAATACTTTTGGATAACCAGACAAATCTTTATCTTGTAAATAACACGTGTCACGTGTAAAACTTGAAATGATCTGAAAGTGACACGAACGCGCACAGGAAAGGAGAGACGGTGTAAAAGACATTCTTTATTAGTATCATTGACCCTAAACAATGACGATACCACTCACTGAACTGGCAAGGTATTCTCCATCCAAATGGAAACACTCAGAATAAACAAAGCGTCCATATGTTGACAAGGTTTTAAATCACCGAAATCAGTAATCATCAGTAGAACACTCAATTATTTCCTTGGCAGTATCTTTCTAAATGAAGATCCCAACTTCGACTTMGCTTTRTTTGGAGAAKAACGTTTCCTAATTGTCGTTTTGCTTTCAWTAGATGTGCASTGYTCTTCACTTCTTGCTCTGACAAGACCTCTTGCTTGAGATGGTTCTGCTGGGGCTCCATCCGGAATCCTCCTTTCGGATGATTTCGATAGTTGTCYATTAAATTCAGAATGATTTCCAAAGTCCCCTGTCTGTGTCAGATGTTTTTTCCCTGTGTCATTCGGCTGCATAACTGTATAAGACGGTAGAATTTGCTGAACCCCGCTATCAAATGATAAGCTTTTTTCTAAAGGTGTTAGACGCGCTTCATTTCGCTGTTCATAACCAAGAAAATTTGTTTCAGTAATTGTGTGGTTAGGCCGACTAGTGCTGGAGTATGTCAACGGTTGAATATTATCCACCTCACTGCTGTTTTTGTAATCTCGATCACACTTCGAATCAACAACATGATCATCAAGAACAGCCTGGATACCACGCTTTTGTAGATAAGAATACACACCCTCACTACCTCCACGTGACGTACCGGGTGCTCCACATACAGTCTCTGCGASGTCCTGATTAGCCATTGTCTGATGGTCATGTTTGTCCCACCTACATGGAGGAAAAGAGGCGGATCTTAGCCTGCGCCTTACGGTATGGTTGCYGATTGGTTCAAAGTGGGAYGATGACACACTGTTATTCATATAGGGGGCTTTGTTTCTTGAGTACAACGTCCTGACTCTGAACCTACCAGCGTTAGGTAATGGGCTTGGGGTCCGACATATTCTACGTTCGGGACTACTTCTTSYRATGTCCCTTCGYGGACTGCTTCTTCTGAGGTCCCTTCGCCTAGCTTCGCTATARAGATGTTGATGTCCATCGGCGTCCACTTGGACTATGTCAGTCTCGGCTTCAATGGTGTCTGGAGTGAATGCATGATATGCAAAGAAGAAAACTATGCATGCCGTGATGAAGTTCGTTGATATACAGACAAGCGCTGATGTGATTGGATAATTGAAAAGGATATACCTGAAATTATACGAAGTTATCAACCGTTAAATAAAGATAAGGTCAAAATCTCATATCTATYCTGATGTTTATAAWATGGTTGAATAAAATTGWGCAATTTGATTGGCTTAGAGGAGCGGTATTTATCCTTAATAGTGGTATCTCAGATTGCACAATTTTATTCAACCAATTTTTAAACAAATAATAGCATGTTTTGAACGTAGAATTTGCGATAAATACCACTTGTGATATTTCAAAATTGTCACAAATTTCACTAGATTCGCTTATGAAATTTTGTTTGACAATTTTGAAAAATCACGTATGGTATTTRTCCCAAATACCACTACAAAACATGCTATTATCCATAAAAATATTATTAAAGAGGAATGGTCAACCAACATTCAATGCCGTTGTATTTTAGAGACTTTTGATATAA